TACCACCATCGATTGGACCCCTCAAGGGAGACGTGTGGCATCTTGCTGCTTTACAGCTACCAGCAAGAAGGAAATATTTGCTGAGTTTTCAAGCGGAACATGCTGATCATCTTACCGAAACGATGGCCATTCTACGTGATCAACTTAACGATATTTCCAGAGAGGCTGGAGACTTCTTAATTGAGCTTTATCTATCAAAATTGGAATATTTAAAGGGAACTAGTGAATGGTTGTTATGGGCAAGCCACGACAACAGAACAAAGGTTCTTAGACAATCAACGTTTACCTTAATAGTAGGATCAAACAGTGCCAGCTCCAGTTGGGACAGTTGTCACATCCGGCTGCTTGAGGCATTACAATCTGGAGCTATCCCAGTGATATTATCAAGCAAAGTTATGCTTCCATTTAATGATGTGATTGATTGGAGGAAAGCTGCAATCATTCTATCACAAGCTCGGCTCCCTGAATTGAACGTGTTACTCAGAACAATTACAACTGAAGATATTCTTGACTTGCGTCGACAAGGCAGATTCCTTTGGGAGACATACCTTTCAACTACTGATGTTATTTTGAAAACTGTGCTAGCTACTATGAGAACACGCTTGTCAATTCCTGCCCATCATGTGTCTGCTTCTCCGACGCCATCAGTGTTCGGTGATTCCAAGCCCCCTGTTACAAGCTCTCCAGACCCAGATGCCAAAAGCAGCCTTGCGCTAGAATCTCCAACTTTCTTTCGAAATTTAACATCAACTGTTGTAGATTCCTACAATGTGTGGAATTTTCCTCCAGGTTCTTTCAGAATGTTTCCAAGCACGCCGTTTACTCCTGTTTTACCTTCTTCAGCGCCATTCAAGAATTCCAGCAAACGATTCGAACTCATCGGGGATGGAATGGGCGGAGCAGGAGCAGAGTTTAAGAAGGCTTTGGGTGGTAATTACCCAGTGGAACAGTTCACTATTGTCATTTTGACGTACAAGAGAGAACTGGTGCTTATGGAAACCATTAAGCGTCTTGTCGGGTTACAATACCTTAATAAAGTTGTTGTGGTATGGAACAGTCCAGAGCCACCTTCTTTGTCGCTTAAATGGCCTGACATTGGGGTGCCAGTTCATGTAAGTGAAATAATTATGTTATCTTACCAACTTATCTGTACCAACAGGTAACGCATTAGAGCATGATCGACTGCGGGACTGCCGGAGCGGTTTCTTTTAACTTAGATATGTAGTGGCCAGGCATTCTGCAATCTAACCGTCAAAACTATACGCGGAAACATTTTATACCATTATATGCGTTATCTCCTTTTGTCTTTGCGTTACATATAAACAGATCGCTTTTAATAAAGGGCATGTGCATCGTTCTGTTAAAATAATAATAATAATACTTTATTTATATAGCGCTATTTCTATCGCTATCCAATAATGCTTTACAATGATTTTAAAACATGGGTAAATTAAAATAACTAATAAAATAACTAAGCTGTAAACATCAAAATGAAAACAAGGAATAATAAAACCTTAAAACAAAAACTTACTAACTAACTCTCTTTACTATTCAATTCAATATATGACGAAAAAAAAATGTTGCACTTCAATAAACATTTTCTTCCTGATAACATTCCCTCGCATTCCCTTTATTCCCAAAGCCAGCACACAAGTACCCTTTGGATACCTATTTTTTTTACTATCATTATTTGTTCTTGGTGTTTATTAAATGTCTGTTTGTTGTTTTTAACAGGTCGTGAAAGTAGCCAAGAACAGTTTAAACAATCGTTTCATTCCATACGATGTTATTGAGACTGATGCTATTTTATCCATTGATGATGACATGAGATTGAAACATGAAGAAATACTTCTGTGTTTCAGGTACAGTACTAACAATAGTTTGCTGATTGAATTCTCCATTAATTTTGCATGTTTGGCTTCTTTGATCCAGGCAACTTATCTTACTATAGGAAATTTACAAGTAACACCTCATGAAATTAACGCAAATGTTCACTGAATGTTCTCAAACTCATCCGAAAAACATATGACGGGAGAAAATATGTTGTCTTAGAAGTGGTACCCAGGGGCGGGGCAGAAGACTCCTGAAATTTTCGTATAGGCATCATCCAACAAAAAATGACGTCACATCCGGTTTAAACTGCGCTTAGCGGCTCGTTTCACAAAGCGAGAAAATGGCGTTTCGATTACTCACGATTTCCCTGTATTTGTAAACCATCAGTTTCGTTTCATTTTATATTGAGTATGGAGGGATGTTGCAGACACATTACTTCGACTTTTTAAGCAAAAATTTCGGGAAAAGAGAAAAGTTTATTATTGTTTTGAAGCAAAATAACGGAGAGCCTTCCG